AAAAAAAAAAAAAGTCTTATGTTGCTACAAAATCCTTTAAATTTCTCATTCATGTAGAGCATTATATAAATTGTATTTTACAAAGGAAAAGCTAAATATGTTTTATGACAGGGATGATTGTCCTGAACTGGCATCCAAATGGCATGTTTATGTGACTGGCCATAGTTTAGGGGGTGCATTAGCTACCCTCCTTGCTCTTGAACTGTCATCAAGTCAATTAGCAAAGTGAGTTTTTTCTCCTATTGCTCAACATAGTTGTTGCCTTTCATGATGATAGCCTGCCTGTCAGCCCATGTGTCAGCAAACTTATAGTAGGAACATTTTGATTCTTCTCTTTTGTTCTTCAGTATTTCAACAATAGCCTTTGTATTTATTTAACCTGAGTAGTGTCTAGTCGAGTAACTTCAAATTTTCTGAAGATTTGTCAATGGTTTCTTGCTGATTTGTGGTGTGTATCCTATTGTCCACACATATATACAGTGGACCCTTGTTACATGATCAGGCCTTATGTAATTTTGGTCTCGGAGTTTACTGTTTGTGGCGGAACTCAATTCCAAAGACTGAACTCTGGGGCTCGTTTCTTACATCTTTTACAAATAATTGGATGCTTATAGTATATGATCTGAAGCTTCAAACTTTTGATTTTATGAAAAGCCAATTATGTCTTAACTCAGTGTTGGTTATTTCACAATAAATTGTATTTTAAGTTAGTTTGGATGTATCCTTATTTACCTTCTATTTGTGTGTTAGATGTGGAGCTATAAATGTTACTATGTATAACTTTGGGTCTCCAAGAGTTGGAAATAGAAGATTTGCTGATGTCTATAATGAGGTAATTGTAGTTTGCATTTCATCATTCATATGTTTTTTTATTGATGAAGTTTTGGCCAATTGTCCTCCCTTTCTCCTGTAGTTTCATGTCATGACATTCTTTTCCATTTTCTTCTCCTTGCCCTTAGCAATCAATTCTAGTTTTAGTTTGCCAAGTAATGGTTCAACTCTTTAGCTCAAATATTAATCCCAGGCTTCTAGAAGACCTACAACCTAGTATTCATTGGTCATTTAATCGACGCCTTCCTTTGTGAGATCTAAGTTCAATGTAACATCATTTTCAACCTTTGTTCTAATCAATTTTTTTCATTATGAATGTTTTGTGTTTTAGGTGATTGCGATAAGATATCATTCTGTTATGTTAGTGCCAAGGTTTTATAGCAATGATTGATTCAACTGGTTATGTTTTCGCGGTTTATTGCAATTATACAAATGACTATGAAGGTGTTGACTACTTGACTGCTGAGAAGCATGAAGGAAATTTTTAATTTCTCTTGACATCAACTTAATATGCAATATGAATTTCATCACCAATGGTTACGTTTGTTGGTTAATTCCTTAATAACAATCATCAAGAGTACAGTAGTTGGTGGGAATTTTGGTCAAGGAAAATGTATCAGCAAGTTTTATACCGGTGAAGACATTGTAGACAAGGAATATGAATTTTTGTTCTTTGTAAGTGTATTGTGATCCCTAGAATCCATATCTTGCAAGACAAGGCCCCTGAAGTGATCCTCTGCTAAAAAATATACAATGGAGTTTCATTTTTATGGCACTCACCAGTGGCCCATTTTGTCTTCTTCAGCTTTACCTAGAAAAAGTTTAGGAAGAGGCAAATTTTCGCTTGGGTACTTTGATTCTGGGGAGTAAATCCTTAAGGCAGTATTGTTAAGGAAATCTCCTGAGAGCGGAATCACTGTGCACAAAGTGATCCTAAGTATGATAAACAAGACAACAAGTGATGCCAAATGTCCTACTTTTGACTTTTTCTTGTTTAGATGTCATTTCACTTTACAGCATGGCTCTGCACATGATATAATGATATATTAAGCAAACTAGTCACAAGTTAAAAACCCGGTTATTGATATTCCCGTTGAGTAAACTGGCCACCAAAAAGGCTGGTATTGACATTCCTTTTGAGAATGCTTATTTATTTTGTTTGGATCAAGTGAAATCGCTTCATCTACTATTATTGAATTTTATTATCAGATATATTTCTTTTTAATCCCCTTCTCATGTCTTGGACAAAAAAACCATTTATGGTGAAATCTAAACTTCACCTGCTGTTGATTACTTTGCAGAAAGTCAAAGACAGCTGGAGAGTTGTAAACCATAGAGACATTATACCAACAGTCCCACGCTTGATGGGGTATTGCCATGTAGCTGAACCTGTCTATCTAGGTGCTGGAGATCTTAAAAATGCCTTGGTGGGCAATCAACTCTCAAGTTCCTATCATGGTCAATTTATTATTCGTAGTAAACAGAAAATAAGCCTACTTCCATGTTGTTTAACTTGTCTCTCCGAAGAAATATATGTTGCATGGCATCCATATTAACCTTTCATGAAACACAGAATAACTAGCAATCCATGTCCCATGNCAGAAAATAAGCCTACTTCCATGTTGTTTAACTTGTCTCTCCGAAGAAATATATGTTGCATGGCATCCATATTAACCTTTCATGAAACACAGAATAACTAGCAATCCATGTCCCATGGCATTAAATTAATTAGGTCACTAACTTAATGAATAAAGTGTTAGCATGTCTAATTAATGAATGAAGTGTTAGCATGTCTAATTGAATTAGATCTTNGAAGTGTTAGCATGTCTAATTGAATTAGATCTTAAGGAAATTCGGGAAAGGCTTTATAAAGTTAGTTCATTATGAAAGTGACTCGAGGTAAAGGTTAGAGTTTGTCCCAGCCTGCCAAACTCATATATAAACACTGTGGGTCTTTCCACGCATTTCCATTTGTTGTTGATTGGATGCTTTGACATGGTATATGAACTGGTTTCCGAGAGCCTCATGGTTTGAATCTCAATCTTTTGGTCCCCATCCAGTTGTTCAGTTAAATATGTTATGTTTGTTTTACAGTCAAGAACAATATGTTATGTTTGTGTTACGGTCAAGTCCACAACTCCACGTGCAGAGGGGAGTCGCACATGAGGGGGAGTGTGAGAGCTTATCCTACATTCTTTTTGAAAGGTCTCACATTACTAGCATACGAACCATGTGGGTTTCTCTGTTCATTGCGAATTGGTTTCTAGTTAGATGCTTTGACGTTTTACCTGCTTCACAACTGCCGCTTGTATCCTTTTGAAACTGCCCCATGTTTGTGCTGCTCATAACATTTCATTCTTTAATTAACCATTTAGGATCAAAGTTCAAAGTTGAGAATTCTCAGAGCGAGATATTACTTTTGCAAATTTCAATTTCATTCACCCACACCCATTAGTCGGTTTCTCATGTGCTACCACTTCTTGGTGGCTATGTTATCCACCTATGATTAACTAATCAACTCAGACAAACAACTGCATAACCCAACAATTAGGCCTTGGCAGTCGGAATCCTCTTGATTATCAACTTCTGTTTCCATTACATCAATAATTGACAAGACCCTAAAAAACATCAGTACATGAGGACCTTTTTCCTAACATCCAGTCCTTCATCATGAAAAAGGCAAATGAGAAATAGTGATGAAATTGTAAACTTTACCTAAAGAAAAGGAAGAAAATAGCAGTAACATTTTCTACAGTTTTCTATATGTGATCATTTAGATTTTGCTAGCCAACAGCTTCTTATGAGGTTAAAACATTCTTTTTTAGGAAAATATGGAGCTTCTGGAAGATGGATACCAAGGCGACTTTATTGGAGAATACACACCTGATGTTCTTGTTGGTGAATTTGTATGTTTCTTGCCTTCCTCTTCTCTTTGGTTTTGTTGACTATTTTCATCTTTGTAAATGTCTAGCAATATATCCAATATCTACGGATAAGAATATATTTCAGCTGGTGTTCTCTTATGCAAAAGTATCTGATGGTAACCAAAATCGTGAATATCATTGATACTTTGATATCCCTATAAATCACTTTTAAGTGGTTGAAACATAGAGATATAAACTTCGAAGTAGAATATATAATGTCTTTGTCAAATTGGTTGATTAAGCCAATACAAATGGCGAGGATAGGCAAGTTAACATGAATAGATGCAAGTATTTACTTTGTTAAAAGGTTTTGTCCGTTAGTCAGTGACAATTTTTACCTTCCTTGCTCCATTTTGTTTTCAACTGTCAAGCCATCCATTATCTCCCCCATCACATTTTGCCACCTGCCACCCAATCAATCTTCTGGCACTCGCCACCCTTATACCCCTCAAGCCGCACAATCCATCTTCCGCACCCCCATCCTTATACCCTCAAACCACCAACCCCATCCAGCCCAAAACCATAACCCTCACTCCATCACACACCCTGCAACTCTCCCACGGTCCCACCACCCGGCCTAGGCCACACTGATAAATCACATCCCACAAAAAATTCTTCTCATGAGAGACACAACCACCCAACTGTTGACTTACCTACTATAACCACTGGTTCACAGTCACCACCACTTCATCTCCATTCTTCCAATCACCACCCACCGAGCCATGAAAGAACATAAACACACATCACATGCTTACAACACCAAAATCACACACATAACCACCAAACACCAAATGTAGAGAGAGGCCAAGGAGCTTGGAATTTATGCCATGGGGGCAAAACCACTGTGCTTCACAGTTGGCTGCTGTCCACCTCCATTACCATTCTTTGCCGCTGGTGGCACAAGCAGAGCTACCCAAGCGCTGTGCCACTCTCAATTTTTTTTACAAAAATTATATGTATGTCTATATTTGCATATTCAAAGAATTATACAAATATCTTTTACTTGTGTTGTGCCCATTCAATAACTTTCTTACTTCAATTATTTGTTTTTTTTT